GGGGGGGGGGGGGGGGGGGGGGGGGGGGGGGGGGGGGGGGGGGGGGGGGAGTACGGGAGGTCGGGGGTTGGGTTGCTCGGCCAAGCAAGCGTCAAGGCGTCAACTCTCTCCAGACATTGACCGATGCTGATTGTGGCAGCGGCACACGGGTACATGCGAGAGAAAGAGAGAGCGAAAAAAAAGAAAGAGGCTTCAGGGAACGCACGGTTCTTCTTACTACTCCGAGTTGACACTGCCGGCCAACAATGAGGTCGCTCATGTCTTGATTCATCGGTTTCCTCGGGGCGCCTCAGCTGCGGCAAACAGCTTGGTCGGCACGCAGACACACGCCTTGGAAAGAGGATCGTCGGTAATCCGGAGAGGGTCGGGGAGGACCGGCAACAGTGTTGCGCCCAAGGCATCCTGTCCTAGCACGCCATGGCATGACATTCACGGCAACCAACTCTTTCGGCCCCGACCGAAAGCAATCAACGTCACTCACCGTATCCGTCTTCATCTGGCACTTGTTGCTGCAGCCCGTGGCAGGGGGTGGCGGCATCAGCGTGTCGCACATGATCACGTGCCGCCTCCTCTCTACCATCTCATCATCGGTGCCGCCGTCGACGGCATCCATCCGCCGTGTCACTCCCGCGCCCCCGCCTCTGTTACCCCTCAACACCGCCCGGCTATCCCCCCCCTCGCCCCCCTCGACCCATCCGGCGGCCCCCTCCGGTCCGTCGTCCGCCCGAAGAACCCTCCTGCTCTTCTCGTTGTCCACGGGCATCTTGAAGCTTCTCCCCCGCATTGCGGCTTGCTCCTCCTCGGCCAGCTGCTCCTCCGCCGCCTGCGCCTCCTCCATGTCGGTGAAGCACGTCCGGCAGTGGGAGCCGTACTCCTTGATATCCCCTGCCCCGCAGAGGTAGCCGCCGAACCGCGCCCCGAGCTCACCACCGGAGTAACACGATCGGTCGCAGACGGTGGCCAACGCCCCCGCGCCGACGCCGCTGGACGGCGGAGCCCCCCCCCCGCAGGATGCCGTGCACCTTTCCCCCGGCCGGTTCTTGCCAAGGAACCGGAGCGCCGGCGAGGAATCCGCCTTCGCGCCGCTCGCGTGGAACATCGACCCGCCCCCTCCCGTCAGGCTGCCGTGGATGAAGAGCGTGTTGCTCGCCACCGCCTTCAGCACCGCCTGCTGGTCCATGTCCTGAAACCCAACGTTTGCAATCTGTGCGGCGGCGCAGGCGCGACGGGGAACGGCGCGGGCAGGGACGGGGGGCGAGTTGAGGGGGGAAACGGGCCGGCGGGTGCGACTGGGGTACAACGACGAGCGCGTGCGCCACAGCAAATTAGCGAGTGAGGTATTCTAGAACAAGTGTGGGCGTGCACGCGTACGTTCTCCAACACGTGGCGCTGCGTTGTTGATATATCCTATTGACGGGTGCAACTGAAGCGCTCTGACGGGGGGTTGGCCTACAATTGGTAGCGGAAGGATGAATGAGGCTCTCGGCGTACCAGATCAATCGCCACAAATTTTCGCGAGAAGCGCTGCCACAAGGGCCAGCTGTAAGGGAAGTCCGAGATCGTGGCCCACAGAGCCACGTCGTACGACTGGGTGTACTCCCAGCGCGTGAGCGTGTAGTTGACGAACTCAACGAAGGCCGGGTCGGTGTTGTTGTAGATCGCATTGCCGTTGATGTGCCCCAGCACGTGCCGGCTCTCCGGAAGAACGACAGTCTCGTGAAAGTTGACGCCCTCCAGGGTGCTCCCCTTGATCCAGAAGGGTTCCACCCCTCCGAACGCCGCGGCGTAGAGCTTCTCAAAGCTGATTTCAGAGTTCGTGACGGAAACCAAAAACAGCACCAGTGGTGCCACACATTCAACAGCAAACGGCGTTGAATAATGTTAGTCGATCAACACTGGCGTTTCGTGTCGTTTTTGACATGGAGGTCGGAGGGAGGAGGGGGGGGTCGGTCATCAAGGATGACGCGACACGCCTCGGCGGCGCTCACGCACCGGTCCCGTGAAATCGTTACCGCACGCACGAGTCTTGCACTCAAGCCACCGAACCACCTCCGTTGGCTCCGGTGAACATTATTACAGGCGCGACCGCTGCTTCGCAATGTGCAGCGGCGGCAGCGGCGGCGGCGGCAGCAGCAGCAGCAGCAGCAGCAGCATCATCAGCATCAGTTGGACACGCAACACCAAGACGAAGAGTGCTTTATTTACCTCGTGTCGTGGGCGACAATAACATCCCACTCGATGATGGCCAAGGCATCGTACTCGATTAATTGGCGACGAACGTTAGAGTCCAGGTAAAGCTTATAGAACTGCACCGATGGGCCCTTCGGGTACACGTTTTCCTGTCGCCGGCCACGAGCGAGAGGGACAGATTCAAAACAGCAGAGGAGGAAGTGAGGACGAGTGGGTGGATTACATTCGAAATCATGAGAGAAATCGCCACCGTGCCTTGGCGGGGGCGCGCGCGCCTCTTGCCGCACGTGGCGGCAGGTTTGCGGGGTGTGGTGTGTTTATGTTCTCCATGCAACCCTTTGGCGTTCTATCGCAGACACACACATACAACAACACACGCGCCGCGCAGAGTGCTTCCTATCTTCTCTCGGGCCCGCTCCGCTCCCTCTTCTACTAGGTCAGAGATGTGTGTCACCGGGCGCTTGTTGTGCTGTGCTGTGTGTGTTGTGTTTTTGCCCCATCATTTCTCTGGCGAAAGTCATAGCCTACACACCTATTGCCAAACATGAACATTTGGCGTGTATCAGCCTGAGCCACACACAGGAGGAATCATACGCAGGGAAGTTCCGTTGATCATATTGCCCCCGCCCCGTTGAGCTTGCCTGACATGTCTTACGCGAGAACAATTCAGCGGTCCAATCCTTCTTGCAAGTATTGTGAATACTCGATTTACGCCAAAGAGTGGCAAATCGACCACTGTCCGGGAGACAGTCGAACCCACCAACTTGCTGCTAGCAGGTTTACGACGTTTCCCACTATAATAGACCACCGGGGAGACCCCGGCTCTACGACACAATCGTATCTGTGCGTGGAGGATCTGCGGGCACCGGTGGCACGGGTATCTACGCTTTGCTGACGCCCAATCCTCTCTGACGCCTGTCGCTCTCGCAAGATGCTGTTGTAACGAGCCGCGAAGAGCGAAGCGCGACGTTAATTCCCTTCATCCTCAGGAGGAAAAAAAGGACTCTAAATATCGGGCTCTTTCAACCATCGCGCTGTAGGGCGACCCTTCCGCAACCCCCCACGGGGAACGGCACGTCAATAAATTATCGCCTGCATAAGATAAGAACGAGGTCCATAGAGCGCCGATTGACGATCCGCTGGGTTGCGAGGAGGAAGCCAAGTAGGACACTCTTCCGTCACACCGGTTTCGTCGCGCTCCGACAACAGATGGCCGTGCTTGACAGGCATTTTCCCCCAAATTCATCGGATATTTTTTGCCCTCGTCCCCGGGAGTTGGACGAGAGGTAAAGGTACACACACGCAACAGTTGCTTGGTCCAAATCAGGAGAAACAAGAGGAAGCACTCAGCTGAACACGCAACACCGCTAGGAGGAATAAGACAGCACTGGCGAGGGAAGGGAGCCATACACACAGCTCGGGAAACGCCGGAGTAAGCTTCCGCGAAATGCCGGAGCAAAGCTTGAGGTTGAAGGTGTTGCCCAATAGTCTAAGCTCTGGGTGCGTACAAGCCTTACCCGTCGATCGGATTTTGGTTCCGGGGCCGGGAAGGTGGGGTTTCAGCACAATCTGCTGGGTTTCATCTTCCTTGATGTGTGGGAAACGCGAACCAGGGGATGGGGATTTCATATCCCTAGCCCCCCCCCCCCCCCCCCCCNCCCCCCCCCCCCTCGGTGTTTGCAATCTGGGTTGGGTTTTAGTCGCTTGGCAACGACGTTGTAGAACACGCCGATCGCTTCGTGAGCTCGACAACCAGATTACTGCTTTTTTGTTCCTTGCTTTTTTTGCGGTGACCATAGTGGTGGTTAGGGTACATCCTGTTGTGCGGGGTCGAGAACCCTCACTCCGACCAAAGGGGATGATCGCACCACGTTGTGTTAAAATAGGCCAAGCACCCTCGAGCCAATTACACAGTGCTTACAACTGTCTTTGGAAGTGAAAGCACCAGAAAATAAATAAAGTCATTCGCAGCTAAATAGCTGTCATCTTTCGCAAGGAAGTAAGCACAAGATGCCGAACACCCTTTGAGCAGGATGCAGCGCACCCTCCATGCGACTCGCCAAATACCTCACGGCGCTTCGCGCTTGGTGATGTGAGAGCCTGGTCCTGTGAGAACCCGGCGTGCTCCGTCCCAGCTTGGTAGGGATGCGAGGTCAATGGGCTGACGACTACGGCATCACGACTCTCCGCACCCCTCCCCCCTACGGGGCCCCCGAATTCAAATCGGGCCGGGTGCGGGTGACTTCACTTTAGGGTACATGGGAGAGATACGGATTGCTCCTAAACAACACTCGAGAAGGCTAGCAATCAGCCAACAAGGCCTACCCTTCCAGAGATGACCTATTAGATTCGATTTCCAGGCATACAGGGTTAATCCTCCTAGTACCCAGTCCCTCCGCAAAAAAAAAAATGTTGAAAAATATTTGTCAGCCACCGGTCGAGGGGTTACTGTCCCTCCAAAGAATCTGAGTTCCTTGCCAGACAAAGGGTGACTTGGCTTCAGTATGAACAGTGTCCCCAAAACACGTGAGGACACTTTTCATACGGAAGCCAAGTCAGTATATTTTTCCAGTACCAGGCGATGTACAGCAGTATTACGACCTACGGGGCACGCGGGCTGAGATATGTGCACAGCAAGTCAGAGGCCCAGGAGAAGCGTAACACAGCTAAATAGCATGTCACACAGCGTACCACCTCAGCCAAGCATGATTGACCAAGGGTTCTCCCGTGCGTTGCACACAGCGGAGCCTAGGGTGACTACAGTGCGGTAAATAGGCCTTTGAGTGCTGTGCCCCATGTGTCCCAAAGTGTCCCCAAAGTGTCCACATTTGGGCTTCCAGTACTAGGAGGGTGGCCCGGTGCATTTGTAGGGGCTGGAAATGAGGATATGCATAGGTCTTAACGAAGAAATCAAATCTTCATGTCGCGGCTGGACATAGTAATACAAGCGTTGGATCTGCCCCAAAACGAACTGAATGTCTCAACGGGACATCTGCCAAATGGAAACGGATCTCTGCCGCCCACCGCGAACAACCCGAGAGGTCCTCCGCTTGCCGACTGCCAGATTGCTGTTGTGACGTGCTGCTGTGACGTGGCCACACCTCATGGAGAGCTATCGCTCCCGAGAAGCACACACCAAACGCGTACATGACCTCCGTGCGGCATTGGCACGATGTCTGCGCGTGTGAGACTTTGAATCGAGCCTCGTCTGACGGAAAGCCACCAAATCGTCTGTGCATATGAGGTTCGACAACATACCCCACACACCTGTTATTTCGGCGCCAGTCACGTGCGACAACGACGCGCAGTCACCCCTCCTTTGGGTTGTTTTTCGTGCTCTCTGTCTCCTCTGTGCTCGGCGGTGTGCGACAGTAATGGATGGAGCTTGTGTGGATGGCGGTACGTGGGCACGCGCCGTGCATGCGAGCTAGCTAGCGTTTTGCCATATTTCCGGTTCGCCCATAGGTTCGAATAAATCATTCAATCGTTTCACCTGATTTTCAAATCCCGATTTGAGTTTGGGTCATCCCATCCTTCTTCCCCTCGCTGCCTCGGGAAGGTTTAGCGTAGGCATGACCCATAGCGAGGGGGGGGTCTTTCTAGCGAGCAGGGCTAGACTCACCCTCAAGGGACCGATACCTTCTTGCTGCGGCGCACCCGCCGCGAGGGGTGCGTAGTGGTGGAGTTGGGTCGGCACTGGTACGCAGGTACAAAGGTGCAGATGCGCGGGCCTCCAGGCCGTCGGTGTAGGCAGCAATGCCCATCCCATCTTTGTGCGCGGAGGCAGACGCCATCAGAAAGGTGGACGGGCACTATGTACACGGCCCTAGGTTTGCTAGAGGGAGCTGTACTGTCTCAGTAACCTGGTTTTGCCATCACAGGAGGAGGGGAAAGGTGGTGACGAGCTGATTGGGCTGGTTGACCCTTCGGCGCGAGAATTTTTAGACCAAGAACCCTAAGTGCGACGAGGGAGAAAACGAGGGGCCGACTGGGGAGGACAGCAACGAGATCGTGTACGAAGCGGAGCGGGTTGAGTTTGGTCGTGCTAGGACTGGCCACAGCGGCACCGGAGCATGCGGACGGCATTGAACCATGGCGCACGGACAAACATCTCTGGTTTGTGTTGTCAATGATTTCCTTTTTTTTTTTTCCTGAATATGATAGGTGTGTCTGCGATGACGTCACTGGAGAGATGCGGCAGAGATGGCGCGGATAACCCGGGTACATTAATTGTATACCTACATCGTCAAGACCCCTTCAATCAATGTGGAACGATTCCTAGTCAATGTCGATGTGTACACTGCTGCGCCTAACACAGATGATCTGGATAGATTCGGGTGATTGTCAATTGCAATTATGAAGTTGGTTTGTTATTCTTCTTCATTTGTATGTCCACGGACTCATTCAGACAGCACAGCAGCTGCATGACCCGGGCTTGTGTACCATGGACCATGTTGTTATTATTGCAGACAGCACTTCAGACAGCAGTACGCTGTGGTCGACAAACATTCATTTTGGTTAAGTGCGGGACAAGGAGGGTGATGCTGCTGCTGTAGTCGAATTGTAGTTTGTGGGCGTGTACTTCAGTTGTGAGCACGCAAACGTGCTGCAGGGATGTAGGTGTACCTCCTCGGGCGTGTGTACCCTTTTCTTGCTGATAGTGTGTGTGTTGTTTAGATCTTCTGATGGCTCCAGCATTTTTGTGACCACGGACCGAGTCTTTGCTTGATCTTGGGATTAGCAACTGACACGAGTTTAATGTCAAGAAAAACAACAACAACAGCATCCTGGTTGAAGCCTAAAGGCGGACCGGTGGAAGAACTTTAAACCCAATCAAGACGAGAGTTCCTTGGATCTTGAAGTCTTCTAACGAAATGTGATCTCAAGATATAATCTCTTCCTTAAGACCTAGACTATTCTGAGAAAAGGCGGCATAGAATTTCGTTTGGTTGATTTTTGAACACATCTTTGATCTTTCAACCCACCGATGCCAGAGGGAATGCGGGCTGTTCTAGATAGAGTTTTGGTCTGGTGACCTCGGGTGCTGTCGTCTAAGTATAATTCGACCAAGCTGAGTCGATTGCCGTGGAGAACGAGACTTGAATCGTCTGTGTTCATGGTGAAACACAACATCGGCGCATCGGTTGTCTTGGAAAAGCTACGACAACCATTTTTTTCTTCGTTTTTTTATTCCGTTCTCCGTTTTTCCAACGGACGGACACTCCCTCTAGATAGGACGCCATTTCTCCGGCGGGCACCTAATTTTTCTCCTCTGTTAGCCAGCTGTGGCAGGGAAGGAGATCGCATCAGCAGTACCTTCGCGAGCACGTACACGAGTACACCACGCACACATGGACACACAGCCCAATCTGACGGGAAAACATTCCAAGGAAAACGCTTGATGCACCACAAAGATTGGCTGCTGCTGCTGCGTTCGTCGGAAGACTACAAGAGCCACGCAAAGAGACAGCCCGATATCCCCGCAATGTTGCAATCCCACATCCCACGACCACGCTTGCTTTTAGGTACACAACGCCGACGCTGCACGAACCACCGAAAGAAGAATTGACGCGTACAGTATCGGGAAGCCGGAGGGAGAAGAGCAAAGCGTGCGGAGAACACCTACTGCTGTGTCGGAGTCCAGTACATAGGAGCTGCTGATTTTTCGGGTTGTCTGTCGGCAGCAAGTGATCGCCAGGAGAAAACACAGAGGGAAGAAAAAGACAAGCACAACGGCCGAGCTCCGAATTTTCGAGGGGCGAGGGAGACAGAGAGGAGCAGGAGATGGTCCCGAGGCCTACATGATAAACGCTCGAGATGCGTCACCCCGTACACACCCTCACCTCAACGGGCGCGCCTTTCGTGGGATTCGGGGGAGGTCGATGTTCTACAGCAGCAATAGAAGCAGCGCCTCATGTTCCGCGAAAAATTCCGCAGAAATATATAAGCACGGCAGACTACATAAAATAAACTGATTTGTTGAGCCTGTTACCGAGGGGAGATGTCCCTATATGCTGCCTGGGAAATCGTAGACATACAGGTAGTTTTCTCTGACGCTATGATTCCATTGTTAATCTGTCATGAATCTTTTCTATGATAGAGATGGACTCGTTGTGTCATATTAAAAAAAAAAAACTATTACAACACGAAGGAGATTGATGAGACTCACCTCTTGGCTCAAATTTGCCAGGACCAGCCTCGTGTTTGCGAAGCATCGCCCGCCGGTTTGCGCGAGCGCTGGTAGCACGGCCGCGACGTCGTCATCCTCTCCTCCAGCGTAATACAAAATCAGGTGTGCGTTCACCAGGGTGGAGCTGTGGCAAGTCGTAGGCCATGTCGCCAGGGAGGTAAGAGCTTTGCCAAGATCCCCCGCATGTGCAGGCACAACTACGGCTAGCCTTCTCGCTGGCTCCGCCCGCACCATCCCATTCTTCTCCTCTTCCGACGGATCAACGCCAAACGAAGAAGAGGAGGAAGCTGGCGCTACTGGTAGAACTTCTGCTGCTTTTGTCGCCACTTGCGGAGCGGTGGCGACGGCATCGGGCTCTTGTGTGCGTGTCGGAGGGTGTGCTAATCGCCAGGCTTGAGGAGGAGTGCCCTGCTGCCCCTTGCCCATGTCACTACTCTCTCTGCCCCTGCCGGCATTGAAAAACACGACATACTCCAGCAAGAACACGGACCCGGCGAGCACCACGAGAGCCGCAAACCATGCCGATATTCTCGACTGCGACGAGTTGGCCGGGCTGTTACCGCTCCGCAAACCCATCTAAAGCACGTGCTCAAAGGCACTCTGGTGCGCGAGACAGAAGGCGATAGGGTCGTGCGCGGCAGGTTTGCATATACTCCGGTATGCGAATACGAGTCCGAATCACCTCAGAACCCCTACCAGGGAGCACCTTCCTTACCTAGAAGCAGATGAAATCGTGTCGAGCCAACTCGATGGCGGAATTGTCCGATCGATAGAGGCTGCCAGAGGCGAAAAGCAGCAGTTCGGCCCAGCAGCACTTGCTGTTTGCCCCTCTCCACCTAAGCCGTTCACGGAGATTGCGCCACTGGCGCGCAGACAGGGGAGACAGCGCGTTTCCAATCCTCTCACAGGTCGACCTCTGTCTCCGGGAAAAAAAGATGCTCCGGCTTGTTTTCTTTGTGACGCACGATCTTCCTCCCACCCTCACCAGACGAGCCGTTCCTCCTTATCAATGCGATGCGTCCTATTGTAGCTGGCGCTTTTCGTCCGTTTCTAAGGGCGTCTCTGCGGGCGATACTTTCGTTCTCTTCTGTGATTAGAAAATCAATTTACTCGGCGAGGGCGGACCCAGCACGCCCAACCGTGAAGCATCCGAGGCCCGGAGATAATTTCCACTGCGTAGCCCCTCCCTACCTCTCTCTCTTCTGTCTACCCCCCTACCCCGCTTCTCCAGTTGTTGCCTTGCCTTTTATCATGCATCACTGCTGACTCGACGATTGTTTGCTTGTCCATCTACCTCGGCCAGCTCCTTGCTTGCCCATTGATACACGCGTATCGCCCACCTGCTACCATGCAGCTCTCGAGTCCGACATCCAGCAGAGGGCGCTCCCGGAGCAGCCAACAGTTCGACCAGCAGGTGGCCGGATTTTCTCCGAAGGCGCCCCAGCAGACCCATCATCCCCCCGGCGTCATCTCACAGCCTCGCGGGCATCGTGTTGCAGCCCCATCTCTAGCGGCTGTTCGTGGCGTTGGTCGGGGTGCTGGCAACTCGAAGCAGTTTAAGTGCTCGTTCTGCGATATACTCTTCTCGACCAAGGGAAACAAGGTGCGGCACGAACAAGCGACTCATCTACACGGGGTTAGGACTTACCCTTGCGAGGTCTGCGGGAAAGAGTTCAAACGAAAGGAGGACCGAACGATGCACATGCGAGTTCACACAGGTAGGTCGTGTTTGCTCGGTTTTGTCTCTTCTATCGGTTGTGCTTTATGGTGCTGTTTAGCTGCCACCGTCTAGCCTGCTACCGACTTAGCTAAGCCGTGAGCCTGTTGTATCATGGCAGTCATCCCCGTCTTTGGCTGCGTACTTGCGCGGAAGTGTACACCAGCATTTCTGTATTTGCGCGTAGCATAGGAAGAAGCTACATGTACTTGTGGGTGGACTCCTGATCGGAAGTCTTCGGAGAAAGGCAAGCCCGTAGAATAGTAAACAAGCTGCGAGCGTTTAGGACGCCTTATCGCCGTACTTAACTCTCTCTCAGAACGCCGCCTTATTCTCTCAGATCGCTTTTTTTTTTTTTCTGTGTGCAGTAGGTGTCCCGGTTTTGCCGGTATGTGCCCAGGAGCTTAGACCGGCCTATACCGGCACTAAAAGCCGGCACATTCAGGGTCTAAAAATCCCTCAATAGCGCTGGCTTGGCACTAATGACGACTGTTCGACTTCAAGTGTGCAGCACTCACGCTTTCCGGGGCCGACAGAGTACCAACCGAATGGAATATGGATCAATTGACGTGGGCGGGCGGGCTTCTTGAAGAGTCGTGAGGCTCATAGCCTGTCGAAAACACGGCTTTGGTCACATTACAATTTACTTGACCAGATATATTTGTTGCGACATTATTCTCTTCCCATCTCAGCGCACACATGAAGGTCGCGAACGTTGCTGCTGCCTTTCAACCGTAGACCGTGCTGCCCGATCAAAAGGCACCTCGCATTTTCCTGTCATGGCAAGAAGGCCGTAACACTATTCAGGCAACCTCAAAGGCACCCCGGACAGCGAAAGAAATGCGCTCATGCACGCACCCGATGTACATTTGGGAGGCACAACGCAGATATGAAGCTATTTCCATGAGCACAGCAAAAGCAGATGCAATCCAAAGGAACGAAGAAGAAAACACAGTTCACTCTTCATTCACTAAAAAGCTAGGGTAGAGAAACAAGAGATAAAAAACGTCCGCAACAAGAAGCGCCATGCTGAACCGCTGAAGCTAGCTATGCTTATCTATCGCCTGGCCCTCTGGGTAGAGCTGGTACAGGGTCTTCAGCAGCAGCACGGTACCTTTACCGGTGGTGATGCGTGTGTATGGCGTCTATATCTCTCCGTCTTTCTTGTTAGCATCGACCGCGCTAACGGACTGAACAACGAAAAGACGTCAGGCTCGGTGCGGCTGAAAACAGAAAATATTTGTTTCTTAGGCCCTAATCTGGAACCCTTTCAGAAGGTATCATGGAGGAGGCTACACTCTGTACCAACAGAAGAAAACTGCACGTGTCTGCCAAGGCTACTACTTGCACACGCGTTCGTTCGGATTGTTTTCATCCTTATCCTTGTATTTTCCACCACTACTCGTCACTAAAATTTCCACTATTTTCCGGGCGTCCATCTCTAGACTCTGCCCCCTGCGCGTTTGTTGTGAGGAAGGTCATTTGGCTCGGAACTTTTGTGTTCCCTTCAACAGCATATTTCCCTCCACCATAACAACATATTTCCTTCCTCCATCATCACTGCTATCCTTCGCTTTTCTTCCCTTTCCACATGCTGTGGGCACTACCATCCCTCTCTTTGCCCGCCTTACTTCTACCGAAATTCCAACGTATTGGCTGAATTGGCTGTGGTGGAATTTGGTCGATCGGTAAACCTTGACATTTGGAGACGTCACGAGTTCGTTCTGACAGAACACGAGGTAGTAGCTTGAAGGTAAACCGTCTCCGAATCCTGTTGGTGTAGAAGGCCTTGAGGCGAAAAAAGGCTGTTCGTGTGGTGTGAACCGGAACTATGTAGGGGTGCGAAAGTGCCTGCACCGGCACTCGTGGCTGTGTTAAGAAAATGTACCGGCACTGCACCGGAATTTGGCACTATTCAACCGGCTCTATCCCGAGACACCTACTGTGCGTACCATTTGGTGCGGACGACGGCGGTCCTTTCCGTCCGGTACTTTTCTGGACGCACAGTCACCCCAGGGGGAAAGGTGGGGCAACAGAACAAAAACAAACAAATGAAAAAAAGCTAATATCGCTGTGTGCTGCCCGGGAAATCGTGGAAATACAGGTAGCCTTCGCTGGCGCCATGGATTCATTGCTAATTAGACTTGTTCTTAGATAGAGATGGATCCGTTGGGCCACATTAAGAACAAAAAGCTCCTGCGTGACCTTCCTCTTGTGTGACATACGCCGAAAAGCCTGTAAACCGGCGCCAGAATAGATGGGACGACCATACACGCAGTATACCACGATATCCTGGCTTCGGCTGGGCTTGAGTTACCCCTTTTGATGCCCTCCACTCTTTGCATCAGTGGCTGCCTACGTTACGGCGAGGGCATGTGTGGAGCTATGATGTGTGGCTCTGTGAAAGAGTATGTAGAGAGAGTCATTCGCATTCGCATTACGCGCATTGCGCATGAATTTTGGCCCGCTTGCACCAGGGACCTTGATTTTTCCCGCTGACACTAACGTCTTTTCATTGGTCAGTCGGTTAGCGCGATCGATGCTTTCAATATAAATAGCGTGCACCAGTCTGGGTCACACAATAGGAAAAGCACAACAAAAGTTGTATTCTCCGCGTTCCTTCTGCGGTGCTTTCCTCAAGTTTTATCGCGGGAAGGATTCTGTCGTTCCTTTCCCTCGTCCTTCTGGATATCGAATTATCGCTTTGTGGTATGCATACATGCCTACACCGCTTTTCGTGGGAGCACCAAGTTGCGAAAAAAGTTGCTTCGAAGTACAGTTTTTTTGCAACTTTTGGTCGTTTTTTTTTGTTCGAAACACTTTTGTTGCACAGTCACTATGGGGCGAACGAAGTTTACTTCACAGTACTGGTGGAATGCGGAGGTGTCACCTTTTTCGGCGAGAAGCAGGTACACCTCTTCATACCACATCGCAAAGAAACCGGCCAGAGCGTACGGGAGAGGGTAGTTGTAACCTTTTTTTCCACACGCACGATACCCCAAGGCATTTAACCTGGTACCAGAAAGAAGCTGGGCAGAGCTACCTCCCTCTGGGTGGCATTGCTGTTGCTGTTGCTCCTTCGAAAAAGTCAACGCTTGAAAACCAAACCATGAGCACACAATCCCCGCGAACTTGAACCAACCGCTCTCTGACGTGGGTGTTTGAGGGTCAACCACAAATGTTTTTCCCGACGCGCACGATACCCCACGATGCCTAACCGTGGGCATGAAAAACGGAGCAGAGAGCTACTTCCCGCGGGGTGGCCTTGCTGTTGCTGTTGCTTCCTCCTTCGGAAAGTTATCGGTGGAAAACCACCCCCGTGGCGGTCAAATACAGCGTGCTTTAACTTCCCCGCTCGCGGCCGTTGGCGTCCGTGCGTCAGCACAAAATTTTTTCCCGAAGTATTCGGCGCCTCACGGCGCCAAACCTTGGCATTGCCCAACAGCCCATGGCATCGCCTCATTCTGGATACCATTCTTGAGGAAACTCGTTTAGTATTCGTCGAGATATCGGTGAACGGTGCGTTGCAATCGAAGCTGTAGAGGGGGTCTACATTTGTGGTAGGGGTAGGTGCTTGACGTGGATTGGCGGAAGTCTCGCTGCGTAACTTTTGTCCGACACCTTCGTCGCGTGAAAAGTTCACGAACTTTGTGCTCCAGACCGCGCGATTTTTGTCCAAAGCAAACACAAGTTTCAAAACTTTTTGCGCATCGTTTTGCTCCCGTAGAGAGCGTACATGAGGAAAGTTGCGAGAAAAGTTCGGAAACTTTGACTTTTTTGCGCAGCTTTGTGCTGCCATAAAAAGCGGTATTACAATCATGTCAGAATCCCAATACGTGTGACTGCGTCGAGATTCTAATCCACGTCCGGACATCAGAGATGCGAAGTTACTTGGCCCGCTCGAGCCCGATAAATTGAACAACCCGACATAGAAGCCAATCAATAAGGAACTGCCAATATTGTGGCATCAAAATCTTTTGTCACACTCCCAACCCGATACAGTGACATTTTGCCACTATAGAAGATGGGGCCCTCAATAGTGATATTTGGGAATCTCACACCCCCAATAGAGGCAATTCGAAACTCGGAACGCCTCCTGCACACTGCGCACCCACGCACACAGCCAATTTATTGGAATTTTAGCTGTGGCGGCGACAAAGAAGGTGGTCGTGGTGTGGAAGGAACATTTTGTTGTAGCGAAGAAGAAACGGAAAACAAAACAAGGATGGAACCGATGATGGAGAGCGAGAGCTTCGAGCCAGAAGAATTGCCGCACAATCAATGCCGCAGGAAAATAGAGGAGTGGCAAAGACATGGTGTTCAAATTGGCGAGAGTTGTGGTGAATGTGAAGAGGATGATGAATGCACTCCGATACGAACACTCGTGCAAAGCAACCTTGGTAAACACGTGCAGAGTTCTTCTGTTGCTACCGTTGCTGTCTCTAATCCGGAGAGTAGCGTTGCCTACCCAGTGGCGCCCCCTCACAGGGTCCCACTTCATAGCCTTGAGAATTATGTTTTCAACCTCACAGGACTGACGTGTTTGCATTCTTAACCGGTTAGGTCGATTCTCATGATTAAACCACACATCATGCTAGCAACTGTGTTTTTGTTTTTTTTTGTTTGTTTCTCTCCCATCATTGGACTCTGCCGTCTGCCCCTCTGGCCCCTATCCTCCACTTCTACTGGCTAGACGACCCAACCGGGGTCACATAGGAGGGGGGGGTTGGACCCCCTCCTGCGGTTCATGCCTGAGGTATTTTTTATCGCGAGAAGGGTACAGCAATCCCTTCCCTCGCGACTTACGAAGTCGATTATGGTTTACTAACAAACGAGCTTTGCAGCGCGTCGCTTTCATCCTAGACCATGATTTATTTAGTGAGAAAAAAACTCTCCCTGCCGGGACTCGAACCCATGACCTGACCCTTAGCAAGCAGGCTGCGAGGCTACCCTCTAGACCACCGGGGCGACCGGTCGTAGCATGTGGTGACGGCGGTTGGGATTTTATGCGCCCTGGGGGGGGTGATGATGTTCGGCGTTTGCGGTTTGGTTACCCCAGTTGATTTCGCGTACTCCGCTGTTGTCAACGAATTTTTTGTGTTGGTTGTGTCGAACCCATCCCACATTGCGCCCGCCGAAATTTGCGTGACTTAACTGCCATGTGGTATGCTGTGTTCTCAAGTTGTCAATATTACAACAAAGATAATTATCGCTTGACGAGCAAATATTCTCACGTGGTGGCCCGAGATCGATGAGGCCTTGTCATGTGGATATACAAAAACTGCTGTGTGTTTCGTTTTGCAATACATGCCGAACTACTAAGAGTCAACATTGGCTAGTAGTACAACGCATATAATGTGAGAACCCCCCCAGGGTAGTCCTCGGTACCAGTGCATTTGACGGGCACAAGACGGGACGGTTTGCAAAATGACGGTAGTTTTTGGCGGTTTGACGGTACTTCGTTTTTTGACGGTACCACTTTTGGCGGTTGACGGTACGGCCGAATTTGCCGGTACTTTTTCGGCGATTTTGCAAAATGACGGTAGTTTTTGGCGGTTTGACGGTACTTCGTTTTTTGACGGTACCACTTTTGGCGGTTGACGGTACGGCCGAATTTGCCGGTACTTTTTCGGCGATTTTGCAAAATGACGGTACTTTTTTTACTGTTGGCGGTACTCCGTTTTTTTTACGGTACTTTTTTGACGGTACCGCAGTATGACGGTACTTTTTGGGCGGTCTTGCAAAATGACGGTACTTTTTTTACTGTTGGCGGTACTCCGTTTTTTTTACGGTACTTTTTTGACGGTACCGCAGTATGACGGTACTTTTTGGGCGGTCTTGCAAAATGACGGTACTTTTTTTACTGTTGGCGGTACTCCGTTTTTTTTACGGTACTTTTTTGACGGTACCGCAGTATGACGGTACTTTTTGGGCGGTCTTGCAAAATGACGGTACTTTTTTGGCGGTTGACGGTACATTGTTTTTTTGAAGGTACCTGTTCGGCGGTACTGCAAAATGATGGTAATGACGGTGCTTTTGGGGGTTGACGGTATTTCCTTCAAAGACCACGCCATCGAGATAAGATCAAATCGTCAAATTGAGAAACTGACAAACTGAGCAGCCACGCGGAAACATGCAACATGAAAAGAAAACAGACGGACAGATCGATGCGATCGAAAACCAGGAACATGCCAAGACGACAAGGCGTACTCTAGTACTCTCGAAGAAAAAGAAAACAAGAAAACCAGAAAACCAGAAAAGAAAAAAAAGAAAAAAAAGCAGAAAACTACGTAGGTATAGCTGAGTCTTGTAGCTCCCTCGGCCCCATGCAAGCCCAGACTTCTGCCGTCACCCGTAGCCGCTTTCGTCTACAGGCAAAGTTCAACCGTCTGGTTCGCCCTCTCCTCCTGAGCAGCCATCGAGCTCTGTGCGGTCTTGGTTGCCGTAGCCCTCGCCTGCGCGACTGCAGCGTCCAGCTCGCGGACCTCGGCGACCAAGTGCCTGTTCAGCCTGATGAACATCATGCGCTCAACCTTGCTTGGAAGCATGTTGCAGCGTAGTTGGCCAATCAGGTGAGCGAGCGCTGAGAAATTGCGTTCGGCCTAACAGCTGGTGGCCTCGATCCCGAGGTACAACCGAGCGATAAACGCTAGGTAGAGCATTTCTGCCGGAGATATGACCTGGCCAGTCTTCGGGGACACGCTGTCAGTGCCCCGCCTATTCGAATACCCCAGAACGTAGCAACCATCCACGTCGAGCTGTGGCTGCTCGGCCAGTTACAGCAAAACCTCTCGTTCGATCAGCACGCGCCGGCCCGTGGTGGGAGACTGATTCTGGAGAGAGACGCTCTCATCGCCGCCGCCGGTAGCTGCCGCCAGACGTGCCGCGCGCCGTTCCTCCATGTCGAGACCTTCTTCTTCTTGGGTGCGGGTTCCGCCGGGTCCGTGTTCACCACCGGAGCTGGCGCNAGCATTTCTGCCGGAGATATGACCTGGCCAGTCTTCGGGGACACGCTGTCAGTGCCCCGCCTATTCGAATACCCCAGAACGTAGCAACCATCCACGTCGAGCTGTGGCTGCTCGGCCAGTTACAGCAAAACCTCTCGTTCGATCAGCACGCGCCGGCCCGTGGTGGGAGACTGATTCTGGAGAGAGACGCTCTCATCGCCGCCGCCGGTAGCTGCCGCCAGACGTGCCGCGCGCCGTTCCTCCATGTCGAGACCTTCTTCTTCTTGGGTGCGGGTTCCGCCGGGTCCGTGTTCACCACCGGAGCTGGCGCTGGCGCCACCGTAGACTCGGTGGACGGCCCGACGTCAAACTTGGCGATGACCGCCTTCAAGTCGTCTTCGGCCTTGTTCCTGAGATCTGCAGAACCGTTCTCGAGTTGGTCGCTGTCAAGCAACTTCCCGCTCGGGTCCATCAACGCGGACAGACTCTCCACAGCAACCTGAGCGCTCCCCACCCCCTTTTCTCTCATCACGTCCAGCAGCACCTCGAGCACGCACTGTGCCTCTGCGGTCAGGTCCGTCACCTGGGTGCCGTCCGTGGGGATGCCTTCCGGTGGGACCGGCACAACAGTGGCGTTTGGCTGTCGGATTGGGTGGGTGTCCTCCCCCAGCATCTCGATCAGCTCGTGAATGATGAACATCGCCTGGCCGATGTGGGTATCCACGGACCCTTGCATCCGTATGGTGACCTCGGAAACGTTGCTCAGGAGGCTGCACACCTCGTTGATCATGGTCCATTCGTTCGGTGTCAGCTTTCGCTCGTTCTGGAGGTATTTTTTGAAGTACTCGGAGATGGGCTTCTTCAAGGCTAGGCAACGATCCATCATCTTGAACTGGCTGGTCCACCTTATCATGGGGACAAGAATTTGCAAAAGGGAACATCGTCAGACCGCGGAGAGTGAGAGCGGGGCCGGTGGAACAGAGGGTGGACGTGTCCAGTTATTTGTTGTTTCAATTTTGCCACAAACCGCAAATCACAAAATGACAAATCTCGTATCACTAATCACTAATCACCTTGTGTCGTTTCGTCTGAGGAGCTCGTAGATGCGCGAAAAGCCCTCTTCCAGCCTCTGGAGTTCCTTCAGCTCGTCGTTGTTGACGGCGGAGTGGTTGAAAACACCAACCATCGCTGCCAGCTTCTTCATGAGTGTGCCCATTGTTGGGTCCTTTATACCTTCCCGGCTATGCCCAACGTCCACACGACTGCGGTGTTGACGTGGTGGCAGTTGCACTCGATGACAGTTAGGGGTGTCAAAGCGGAAAATTTCCTATAGGAAAAAATTCGAAAAAGCGTCCTCGGATCTTGCTGATGGAAAATCGACCAACATTTTTTTTTGGGAGGGTCTGCTGGTGTGGGCACTGCAGCCCCCCTGGAGGGGCCGTTTTCAGACAAGTAGACCTCGTGGTTGGCTGATGCGATTTGGATGCGGTTTGCTGTGTGGTACAGCTGTAAACCCAAGGTAGAGGGCTGTAAGCTCGCTTTGTCGAGAGGAGCAACGGTCGCCTTGCGCGTGGAGCAAAGAGCCCAAAAAAACATGTTTTTTGGTGTTGTTCGTCCGCCGTTTAACTTGGAAGAGAAAACCGAGCTTACAGTTACCTCTATTGGACCTGTGTCCAGGTGTGTGTAACGCATGAAGAGCCATGCTGCTGTCTGGACGCAGAGCTGCCTGTACAAGTAAATTGACTTGATGAATAGTTTATTCAGTATTAACAGCGGGATTCTCAAGAACCAAAAAACGAACCAAATCCGCGTGCCCCCCTCAATTTTTGCCGAATGGACCGGACGTTTTTTTGGCCCCAAATTCCGCCGCTTTAACACCCCTAACTGTGACACCCAACGCCGTACACACGTTGATGATGTTCGTCCCTTTATCCACCGTAAACGCGAGGAAGACGTCCGATGGCGCCACAGACTCGGCCCATGAATCCCGAAAAGTACTCTAGTGTGAGCTGCGAATTGCGGGGCGTGACAACGGATGGGACAAAATTCAAGAAATATATAAAGTAAATAAATAAAACTTTAAAACATAAAAAAAAAAAATGTTCTCTTAAGACACCATTTCAACAGAGTACCGTAGTTTCAACAGAACACAAAAAACTAAAGCGCCTCACCTTCTCAATCCAGGGTTGGATGTCCTCGGCAGTGTGGCTGCCGGGAAACGCTCGTGTCGCCAGCGCGATACGGGTGATGTCCGTGTTGCCCTTCTTCACGAACGCTACGTGTAAGATCCAGCTGGGCACCAAGGAAGGGTACCGAATACCCTTTGCCGAGGTTCTCCTCTCGTAGCGTCCGCAACTCGCCGACGACGGATGAGAGTACCCCGCCGTAAACCTCGTCCAAGATCTGGTTGAACGTGTTCTTGGCCATTGTCGTTTTCACGTACTCGGGAAGAAACCCCAAGAAGAGCTTGAAGCCTTGGTCGAACCCCACTTGCTCCGGCCTCAGGTCGATGCAGCAGCAGAGGACGAAACGGCGGTCGGCCGCTTTCCTCCGTTGTTTGGTCATCGTCGGCACCCTGTAACTGTTGAGCGACGATGAGCTCGGTGCGCCTGCTGATGGAGCTGCTGAGCTCGGCCCCTTTGCTGATAAACCTGCTGATGATTTCCCCACTTAATCACAGAACACGCACCGGAGGACAAGACGAATCAGAAAGTCAGAAAGCAAGAAGGCCGAGCAGGGCCGTCGTGACTGTATGCAGTAGAGGTCCCTGTTTAAGGCCGCAAGTTTAAGGCCGGTGGCCCTTTTTAAGGCCGGTGAAATCGTCTGTCACACTTGCCTCCCTTTTTAAGGCCGCACAGGCCTTAAACAGGCATAGTCCCTATTTAAGGCCGATTAGGGCGTCCGCGCACCCTATATAAGGCCGGTTTTGGTGTGACGCACCCAGTTCTTCGGCAGCATTATTCAAGCCGCAACACAACCTCTCCAGAGATCTACACAACAGTAATACCTAGCGTACCCCTACCGACCCAACCAGTAGGGGCACACATGCCTTGTGCGGCTGGTGAGCTGTGCCAACTGCCAGACCAGACGCCAGTAGCCCCTCACGGCCACCAATGTCACGGAGGGTGTGGCGGCAGACTGCACGGACTGTGTGGGGAACAAGACCAAGATGCGGAGTACGAAACCGCCCGCATCTGCATTGCATGCATTGCCTCCGAGCAAAAGGGTAGTATTGCCTCGACAGCTGGCAAGGGCAAGCGCAAAGGGTCAGCCACGGAGAGCGNTCTCCAGAGATCTACACAACAGTAATACCTAGCGTACCCCTACCGACCCAACCAGTAGGGGCACACATGCCTTGTGCGGCTGGTGAGCTGTGCCAACTGCCAGACCAGACGCCAGTAGCCCCTCACGGCCACCAATGTCACGGAGGGTGTGGCGGCAGACTGCACGGACTGTGTGGGGAACAAGACCAAGANGTCTGCTGGACAAGGGCACGCGGACGCAGAAGTCGATCGCAGAGCAGTTCAACTGCGGGGAGCGCACGATGCGTACCGTCAAGGTCGAGCGGGCGAAGATAGAGAATCAGGCCGCCAAAACTCGCAGCAGCGTCACCACCAGGAAGAACCTTCGGGCGGGGGATTCCCAGAGGTATGCTCCTGTTTTTTTTTTTTTTCAGCCTGCCGTTTGTACCACTCGGTGTTGATTTTTTTTGTTTTCAGCCTGCCGTTTGTACCACTCGGTACGTATCGCACGTTCAAGAAAATCGCAGTGCTTGATGTGTGCAAATAGCGACCCCCCCAAAGCAGTCTGGATATGCACTGAGATTGTGCTTTGCGCGGTCAACTGCATTGGAAGCATCACGAACATTTTACATCTGATGCACCACCCACACACAACAAAAAAGGCGCACACATTTTTAAGTACATTTTTTTTCCACTGCTCGTTTTATCTGCATGTACATTTTGGCTAGGGTCGGCAAACGTCAACCTTTCCACAAGTGTAGTCTCTGCGTGCGTGAACTTTGGTGCTGGTGCGTAACTTTGTGATATTTTTCATCCGTGAAAGCAGTACTGTTCTAACCCGCGCACACCGATTTGAACCCTGTGGTGCTTGCTGCTGACTTTGTACAGTTGGATTCTTTAGTTTTGGACCTCGTCAACAAGGCGCGGATGGCGAAGTACACCGTCACCGGCAACGTCATCCGATCGTTCGGCCGCTCTGCCAAGGCCACCCTGTTGGGCTCGGCGAAAACGACTGACTCTGTGAGGAAGAGGCTCGAGGACTTCAAGGCTGGCGACAAGTGGAGCAAGAACTTCGTGAAGCGCAACGACCTCCACAGCCACAAACTTCATGGGACGGCCGGCAGCGTCGACCACGACCGCATCAAAGAGGGCATGGAGGAGGTCCGCGCTGCTTGCGAGAAGTACCCGGCGAGGAACATCTTCAACGTCGACGAGACCGGCATCCAGTGGAAGCTCATAGCCAGGAGGACGTATCTCGCCGCGTTCGAGGATCGGAAGACCACTAGAGGGAGCAAGAACATGGAGTTCAAGGATCGCATATCTGCGATCATGTGCGCGAATGCCACTGGCACTGCGAAAGTGTCACTGGCGATCATCGGCACGGCCAAGAACCCGCGCTGCTTCAGGCGCCGGAAATGTCCTCTCAAGTACTTCGCGCAAAGCAACGCGTGGTCTGATGGGCCGACCTTCAAGAAGTGGTGGCAGGAGGTTTTCTTACCCTTCATTCGGCGCTGGACTCACGAGCCCGTGTTGCTGCTCATGGATGGCTGCTCGTCGCACGGTGATTTGATCGACCCTGTCGGGCAGGCGGAGGTGGTGATGTACCCACCGAACTGCACCAGCGTACACCAGCCCACGGACATGGGGATCATCGCGGCCACCAAGGTGATTTACAGGAGGGATCTCCTCGACGCCAAGGTGTCAACCATGCTCGTGGCTCATGCACTACGCGCCGAGGTCAAGCGCCGCAAGATGGCGCGCGGGACCGCGGTCTTGGCGGAGGGAAACCACCCCCACGTGCTGGACGCGGCAGACCTTCTCAAGACCGCCTGGGGCAGCATCACCCCCGCGACCATCGCCAGGTATTGCTTCGAAAATACAAGTGGTGTCCGGTTCTTCCATCTGCAAAGGTAGAAACCGGTGTACATTTGATGTATTATTGTGTGCCAGGGTTGAACCCCCTTAGCTGTTTCGTGTCGCTGTGAGAAACACAAATGAAGTTGAAATCGCTCGAAAACTCGTTTGCCAACAGATGTCCTCGTTTCTTGTGCCCGACACCCTCTCTNTTGATGTATTATTGTGTGCCAGGGTTGAACCCCCTTAGCTGTTTCGTGTCGCTGTGAGAAACACAAATGAAGTTGAAATCGCTCGAAAACTCGTTTGCCAACAGATGTCCTCGTTTCTTGTGCCCGACACCCTCTCTATTGCGAATGTGCCGGTGCTTTCCCCGCACCTCGCCCACCAGGTGCTTCGTGAAGGCCAAGCCGCTCCCCGAAGATATGGAGGCTGAGCTCACGGCTGCGCACGGGAAGCACAGGCCGAGTGGCTCCGCGGCCCCGGCGGGAGGGCCAGTGCTGGGGCGTGCAGACAAGGAGTCTGTGGATCTTCTCGCAAAGACCCTCACCAGCATGAGCTCACGGGTGCATGAAGCACAGGAGAAGTCCTACGGTGTTGACACGGAGTTGACAGAAATGCTGGCGGCCCTGGGCATCACTGCGGGAGAGCCCGCCGATGCTGCCGCTGTGCGAGCGGCTGAAGTGTGGGCGACGGTGGAGGACTAGCCGGATGTTGTGGAAGCCATGCAGCAGGACGCCGTAAACGAGATGACGGAGCTGCTTGATGGCACGGCTCCCGCGGAGGAGAGCTCGGACGACGAAGCGAGCGAGGAACCCTCAAGTCGTACGGCACCTCCGCCGTAGGCGGCACTTTCGTCGCACTTCGGGGCTCTGGAGACGGCAGCGGAGGGGAGCGGCAACCGTGACGCCGCTTTCCATCTACAGAAGGCCAAAATGGCAATGATCGCAGCGCATGGTTCGAAGGCAGCGAGGCAGACAGACATGAGGCAATTTTTGTAGACTCGATAGGCGCATGGGGGGAGGCGTCAGTTGAGTGGTTCTCCCGGGTCCGGTGTCGTGTCCGGTTTCATCCTTGTATTTTCAACTTTCNTGATCGCAGCGCATGGTTCGAAGGCAGC